TAAATCGGTTTTTACCGATGCAAATATGTTAGAAACGATGCATCGCGATACAAATGCCGACTTAGCCGATACACACTTTTTAAACCGATGCATCGCATCGTTACGTTTTTATGCCGATGCACCGAGCGAATCGGGGAATCTTCCCATCCCAAGAATCCTGAGAAAAAATTTTTTATCATGGTTTCCATAAAAATATTAAGCAGCACAACTGTTTTTAACATTGATAATAATAATGAAAATGTTTCTTGGAAACCAAATCAGTATATCAGAAAGATTTCTAAAGGTGATGCTGAAAATTCAGCTTTGCCATCAGAGGAATAAATTACATTTTAAAATAATAAGAGACTTCTTTGAAAATAAAAAAAAAATCTTAATGATCTCAAACTTTAGTAACAGAGTAACATTAGTACATATTAGAGCCCGACCGATATATCGTTTTGCCGATATTACCGGCCGATATAAGCCTGTCACAGATCGGTATCGGCGAATATGATTTTTTTTTTACAGAACATATAACGCAGATGAAATGCTTCTAAATGGTGTAAGTTTGTCCAGCAGAGCGCGCTCCATTGTTTGCTACTGGCGACTCAGGTCAGTGTAGTGTAGAGATGTGCAGATGAGCTCAAACTTCACTCGAGTCCGCTACTTCAAATAAATTATCCGCCCACCACCAAACACACCTATATTTGATCATCACATTACAATGATTCTAATTCTTAGTTTTGCATGATGATATGATGAATGGTGCATCACGGCACGCTTCTGCGGCGTATACGGCTCCACGGCCACCGGAGCTGATCGCGGCCACTCAGTAGGCCTACTGTTATACACTGAACAAAATTATAAACGCAACACTTTTGTTTTTGCCCCCATTTTTCTTGAGCTGAACTCAAAGATCTAAAACTTTTTCCATGTACACAAAAGGCCTATTTCTCTCAAATATTGTTCTCAAATCTGTCTAAATCTGTGTTAGTGAGCACTTCTCCTTTGCCGAGATAATCCATCCACCTCACAGGTGTGGCATATCAAGATGCTGATTAGACAGCATGATTATTGCACAGGTGTATATCGCCCATTATTTTTATTTAAAGATTAATGTCACCATGTTTTGTACATTCCACTTGCGCCTGTGTCTTTTGCAGCTTCTCGTACATAACATGGTGTAGTCACGAGGTGCTAGTTCAAATGTTAAAAAATGCTTCTACAAAAAAAGTTTAATCTGCAGATATGGTCTTGTTTAGGGATCTGACGGACATCTGCCTGCTAAGTAGCGTTTGTGTTTTCCAGCAATAGTGTGCACCCTTAATTTACAGAGAAAATAAGGTCAGGGACAAATCTGTTGATGGAAAAATCTCCATACAAGTTCTTTGTGCATTTTTCTTTTTTTCTACTTGTAACTTTGCACTTTTTGTTAGAAAATGTTTATTTACTATTTATTCAGGTTTTTTTAAGGTATCTAATATTTTGATACTTAATTTCCATGATCTAAATATTCTTAAAAATTAAAAGTTTGTTGTCATTTGGAAGTGTGTAGGCCTTCTTGCATTATTATGCCGTTACATTACAGTCTTTAAAATGACAATAATATCTCTTATCGCAATTATTTCTGGGGCAATATATCGCACAACAAAAAGGTGTTATCATGACAGGCCTACCACTCAGTCAATGCTTGTGTTTATACCGGCCACGCGGCCCAGAACTCATGCACATCGGTCACATCACATTTCCTAACTGGGTGTCTACACCGGATGCGAGTGACGCAGCGCGGTGTGACAAAATACAATAGAACCCATTATAATAGTGATGCTGTCTCTACACTGGATGCGGCGCGACATGACAAATCCCGACAGTAAACTGATGCCTCGTTCGTCGTTCTATTTATGACGTACTGACACAAAGTACAAATGATTTTCAATGGTCGCTTTGTCGTGTCCAGTCTAGACATGGTGTGTCAGCATAGTTTGTCATCTGCAGTCCGGCAGTGCAGTGGTGGCTTGAGTCTGTTGAATGGTGATTTAACGCTACGTTGTCACCTAGCACCTAGTACTCAATGCTCAGTAAATAAACAACAATGTCCTCGTCTTTTACTCTAACAATGAACTTATCATATTCGTTTGCTACATTAGTAGGGCCCTATGATTTCGGCGATGTGGAAAACGCAGATGGAATCGCGGAATCCAGTCATAAAAATGGAATTTACTGTATAACGCGGAATTTCATGGAATTTGTCTTATTTTTGATGAATAAATAAAAAACAGGTCA